ATAATTACCATTATCATTTTTACCAGTATCCTCATTATGAAATAACATCAAAATAACTCAAATAATAATAATAATAATAATAAAATCACAAGTCATCGTAAATATATACACTATCATCTAATCTATTACAAAATCCAAACAAAATATGAAACCAATCCACCCAAAAATGTATTCATTTTACGTAACATTAACGAATTTCTTTCCTACAAGCAGAGTCCTGGATACCGCGTGGAAGTTCCTACGCTACACTGCGATGCCGTCGGACCTCTCGTGTAGACAGGGGAGTTAATACTGTTGCCGTTCCTGCCGTAGTTGCAGACGTAGATCTTGCTCTCCGAATACGTGTGGCTACTCTTGATGCTCGAAAACTCTACGGCACCGCATCCGATTTCGTTCGTCGCTCCCCAAACCAGCTGGAATGTTTCAAAGGTGCGTTGTGTGTGTGGTTCGGAAGGAGGTTCAAAAGCACTTTGTTCTTGTGGATAGATCTTAATACGTATTTTGGTTTGATAGGTTTTGTTAAATGGTTTGTTTGTGATTTTGGTTTATTGGTTTTAAATTGAATTATTTAATCTTTTCCTTTTTACTGTTGTTTATTTTTGTTTTTTTTTTGTTCAGGTTTGAAATTATTCGACGGGATATGCATGAACGAAAGAAAATGAAAAAGAACAGTAGATAAGTGAATATAAAGAAGTGGCAAATGAGCTGAGAGAAAAAAATAATAAAAATCCAGAGAAACCCGATAACGAAATATTTATCTTTTAAACTACACACCTCACCTTTCAAACTCAAATCTGCTCCCTATATACAGCAGAATCATGTGTTTTATTTACCTGTGTATAGTGACCGATCATCTTTCCAGAAGGGGGACTACCAGAAAATTTGTCCACGTAGGTATTAGGCATATTGGCCACCTCTTTATACCACGACTGGATAGCTTCGGCCCATACCTGCAGCGAAAAAAACTTTTTTTTACTTTGTGAAAGGAAGAGAAATTATAACGTAAAACATATATAAACGTGATGGTACACAGTATTGTATACTCGCTACAGTTAGGTATAAATACACATAACCACGCGCACAAATACACAGAATGGTATGGACAGGAATATGAATAATTTCAGGAATATGAATGATTTCCATAGGGATGTATGCGTGTATGCGTGCGTTCGTCTGCATATGCATACACACAGACGCATGCATCCCATAAAAAAATCATATACACATACGCACTTATAAATAAAAAAATACAATAAACAAAAAAATAAAGAAATAAACAAATAAATACAAACTAACAAATATATATAGAGAATAAAACACGAATAAACAAATAGATAAAACATGAATAAACAAAAAGAATAAAGAATAAGAAGAATAAATCATGAACAAAACAAATAATAATATATAAAACAAGAATAAAATAAACAAGAATAAAACAAAATAAAATAATATAATAATAAAACAAGAATAAAATAAACAACAATAAAATAAAATAAAATAATAATATAATAACACAACAAAACAAGAATAAAATTAACAAGAATAAAATAAAATAAAACAATAACATGATAACACAATAAAACAAAAATAAAACATGAATAAACCAGCAAAAAAGCGATCACTCCCTCGCGTCATTCAAAATCCCACTCACAGATTCTGGATTCTGACCCCACTTCCTGAAGACGTTCTGCCCGACGGCGTAATTTCTTGAACAGATTCTCCTCTTGGCGTAGCCGTCGTGGCCGCCCTTGCATTGCTCCGCCCACGCCTTGGAGGAAGAAATTGCATCATTGCAGTGATAATTAGTGGGGAAAGAGATAAAGGAGTGAATAAGGAGATGGGAGAATTGATGACAAATATGAATATCGGTTTTGTTCTTCTTGTGGAAAAGCTATGGATTGTTTTTGTTTGTGTTGTTTCGTTTGTGAGATTTAGGGGAAAGGGATGCTTTGTATTGCAAGGGGTAAACAATCTGTAATATATAATTTCCCTGTGATTTTCCGAGACTTTCTTCCAATTCTTGATTTATTTATCGTAAGAAGACTTGGAATAGGCAAAAGAGTTCGACAAAGAAAGAAAGAAAGAAAAAAAGTCCGGCGTAAATACAAAACAGGAAAATTAAGTCAAATTAAGAAAATATGTTTCCATCACATAGAGAGAGAGAGAGAGAGAGAGAGAGAGAGAGAGAGAGAGAGAGAGAGAGAGAGAGAGAGAGAGAGAGAGAGAGAGAGAGAGAGAGAGAGAAAGAAAGACAGAACACAGAAAGAAAACAAAAAACAAATCCAAACCAAAGACAAAAACAGACAAACAATCCAACACAAGTCAAAAACTAAAAATAAAGACCACTAAATAAATAAATAAATAAATGGTTAAAAGGACATCACAAAAATACAAACAAAAAAGAACCCACCTGAGCCACCTGCGCGAGTTCGTCATTCCACACCAGCTCCCTGATGTCTGCTCCTGTAGGCTGGGGACCTGCGTCTCCTGCGATTTCCTCTCCGCGAGCCACCTGCAAACCATTCCGATTTTTTTTTTATTGTCGCTGTTCAGTTTATCCTTCCTTCTTTCATTCTTATTCCTATTTTTTTCTACTTGATAAAGACTGATTAAGTAAATATGATTAAAAAATTAACAAACATAATCGTAATAAACGCAACTCTAGATCAGCTTAAAATCCACGTAAGGAGAGAAAGGGCTAAGGAAGTGCCTGACCTTCGCTCTTAGGGTATTATGGGCTTCCAGAATCTCCTGTTTCTCCGCCTCCGAAACCCCGGTCCTGTGGGCGTTACACTCGAGGTTGGGGCGTAACAGCATCGAGTGTTCGGCGGAGAACTGGGCGTAGTCACAAGCCGCGGGCGTCGTTGGGGGTTCGGTGGGCGGGTTGGTGTGGAGTTTTGTGGGCAGGTTGGTGAGAGGTTCGGTGGGCGGGTTGGTCTGGAGTTCGGTTGCTAGCGCCGTCGTAAGTTCTGTGGGGGAGTTGTTAGATATCTTGCTTGAATATATGGAGTAATGAAAATTCGTTTTCTTCACCAAAAACTGACTTGAAAAGAAAATTAATTTGAATAAAACTATCCACAATGGCACAAGAATCCAGCCATGAGCACGCCCACCCACCTCCGCACTCGCAGCCAGGGAGGAAGCGCGCCTGCAGCACCGCCCGCCTCTCAACCTCATCGTAAACACACGCGATCTCGACGCAATGGTCCTCCAAATTGGCGACGGTCTTGTTAACGTTCCACCTCCTGTTGAACCAGCACTTCCGAGCCGCCCTTGCGCCTGCGTCGTAGAAGGCATCGGATTCTACGGCGCCGCCTTCAGGTTCGGATTCGACCTTCGGAGTCCTTGGAGCGGAGCGAGAGCACGTGCATCCTTCGACGGGTTCCAGGATCACTTGCGGTTTCTTGCGCTTCATCCTGCACACCAGCCGCGCGCAGGCTTCGGGGAGGTTCTCTACCACCTGGAATCATTTGGTTTCCGTCATTTTCATAAATCTTATGGTATTGAATCCCAAAGGATATTTTTTTTTTATTATTAGACATGTTTTATGTATAAGCATAAGCTTAGACATGAGAAGCGGTCTTTAATATACTTCCATCAAATCAATAATAATCGATCGGTACCCACTCAGCTCCCAGAGGACGGATTGCAAAATTGAAAGGATTTTTTTTGGGCCGGGCAGGATCCTATTTTAATCTGAATGGAACAAGAAAGGATTGATCTGTACATTTTTACTCATATAAACAATTTAAGTAAATATATACTCATTTCTAATGACGACAAATAATACACATTCTTAAACCAGTTTTGGCCTCACCGATTTCCCGTTAACCATCATGAACAGACGTTATCGACCATCAAACACTACAACAATTAATAATAGGTTCTTTCATATGCTTTCATGCCGTCTGCTATTGAAAAGCCATAACATCTGTCTCGATAGCTGAAAATACCTCAGTCATTAAAATAATACCCTCTGAAATGGGCTATATTATATTACACAAGAAAAGCAACCACGGCATGTTGAAAGGGCGCTGCGATCAGGGATTTTACCATGCTCGACGTATTTGCAGGCGCCGTGTAATGCCAATGGTTACTTGAAAGCACGGCTCTGTGACGGTAAAAAGTCGTTGCGTCTGAAGCGGGATTTCAGTTGCTTGCTTAGTTGCTCTCTTCGAACAAGGGGAACTCAAAGAAATATTTCTGGTGCAGTTAAGTGATTAAGTTGCAATGTTTTCTTTTTTTTCGTTTAATCGCAATTAATATTTTTTTTGTTCCGATTAATATCAATGCGAAAAGTAAAATGATGAGTATTGTCAGTTTATGCTTTAATTTGAGATCGCGAGGGAGGGATGTGACTATATTGAATATATGGATTACCTCTGTATCATATACAGACTATCCGTTAAAAGTTATCTGTCTAATAATAAGTGCATTACAAGAACAAAAACAAAAACAAAAATATAGAACAATCAACATGAACCATATTAATGTGTTCGACAGACCGTGTTCTTCTTGTACAAGAGGCTATTGTACTGACACTTCCGTAGACCAACATTCCTCGATAACCCAGTGCCAGGTAGGCTGGCAGCCGCCCCTGGAAAGAAAGAACATAAGATAAAAGAGAATATATATATATATATATGTGTGTGTGTGTGTGTGTGTGTGTGTGTGTGTGTGTGTGTGTGTGTGTGTGTGTGTGTGCGCAAGCCAGATGTGATGTGTACACAATTTTGGTTGGCAACAGCAAATCGCAAAAATACACCTGCGTTAGATGTACACATATTTCTATATGCTCTATATCATTATTTGCTCAGTGTAAAAGTTTGAAGTATCACTCATATTTAAAGATGTCTATAAATAAGACCTTTCTACAATTAGTTTAGTTTAGTCCTTTATTTACTACCCTGGCTAACTGCACAAGCGTGAAGATGTGGTACATTTGATGCATGGTCATAACATTATATAATGGTATTACATTTATATTTTAGGCTATAACAATACTATAATAAGTACTATATAAGGGACAATTGCCCAGTCCTTTATCTACTCATCTGCCACGCCTACGTACAGCTTGGGCGTGGATAGGCATTGCTACATTTGATAAGCGGTCATGCGATACTATATTCCAAATTTAGGATACACTATAAGTATATCTTCTAAGACATCAGATGATATGAAATGGTTACATAGTTCTCTGTACCTCATGCTATGTGGTCTGAAAGGCTGTTACACATGGCACTCAGAGATATAATGTACAAGTGTTCGCTTATATTCTTCATTCTACAGTTTACACTTAGTTTTTACAAACATATGGGAGCTTAGTTTTATAGTCCTTAGAATACTAACTGTAAAATACACCTGAATTCCGGTGATTAATAACATACATGCAAACCAACTTCCACCTGGACTAATATACGTATCCACACAGACACACACACACACACACACACACACACACACACACACACACACACACACACCACACACACACACACGCACACACACACAAACACACACACACACACACACACAGCTACTGCCGCTCAAGTATATTAAGGCCATGTAATCTATTTGCATATCATTATGTACAGAAGTTTGGGTTCATATCATTATTCGTTTAACTTGTAATGATTATTTTTCAAAAAACCTAAATTGAATATTCCATTTCAATAAAGCACTCGTTATTACAGTATATGTATATACTGTATATATGTAGTCGCCATGGGATGCACATATGTAAGTATATGTGTGTGTATTAATTTATATATATATATATATATATATATATATATACATATATACATATATTCATGCAGATATATGTATATATATACGTATGTGTGTGTATATATATATATATATATATATATATATATATATATATATATATATATATATATATATATATATCTATGTATACACATATGTATAACATTTTTTTCTCAAGAATGGCCAAACAAATAATATACTTCTCAGCCAAACTACGATATATACAAGAATTCAGAAGGCTAAAAAATGAAACTTTACTGCCAATATACCGTTCACTTCGCATTACGGCCGGTATTTTATTTCACTCCTTTTTACACTTTTTTTAATGAACACACAAAAAGTACACCCATATATTTCAATATATAAGTATGTATATATACACACACTCACACACACACATATATATACACACATATATACATACACATATATCTTAAATTTACGTCTCACTCACCTTGCAGGAAAACGACCACCAGAAGAATCAGCCCAGGTCCGCACGAAGCCATGATGCTGCTCTGAATGCGGTTCGAGGTATCGCTGCCTCCCTCTCTGCTTCGTGTGGCCGGCTTCCGACTCAGCACACCTGCAGCAGTTAGTGTGTGAGTGTGTGTGAGTGTGTATTTATGTGTTTAGATGTGCATCTGATCAAATGCTGTACGATTGCACGTACTTATTACTGTGTTATTACTCCGAATGCTGGGGGATTTTGTTTCGTTTATTTGTTTTATTGAGTTGGTTATTCATTTGTTTATCTTTTTTCTTTTATTTTCTTATTTGTATATGTTATTCTTATTTTTTATTTGTCATCCATTTATTTAGTCCATTAATTCCTATTTCTTGTGCGTCAACCATTTATTTACTCAACTTATTCTTATTTTTTTTTATATTTCCTCTTTATTAATCGCTGCTGACCCGTATTGGGAAGAAACAAACATTTTTTTTACTGCAGATATTGTAGAAATCGGATTTTGACAGAAACGTATTTTTTTTCACAGAAACGCGTAGTTGTATAATCTTCACCATTAACTCATTAAATGCTGAATAATGTCGATGTTTTTTTTTTCCTTCCTGGAAGTCGGATTTGTTAAGTCAATATTATGTTTTAAATTTCACTGCTGTAATTTTTCTTTATTACAGCTCACGGAAAGTTAATGAGTTATGCAAACATTTCGCGTTCTATTTGCATATCCCGAACTTTTGACTTCTCATTACAGGCGAGGTAATTTAAAGTGTCAGTAAAAGTGCATAATTCTGAAATAAAAAGAGAGAAATATCGCATTTTAAAACTTTTAGGAGAAAAAAGGTTCTAACAACTATTTAGTTTTCCCAACAAGCACTTTTGGCATATATAACCATTTCGCTTGTGACTGTTAAAGAGATTATATTTGCTAACACATGCATGCACACACACACACACGTGTATATATATGTATATATATATATATATATATATATATATATATATATATATATATTTGTACATTTGTACATATATATACTTATTATATTCACTTACTTATTCATATAGACGAATGAATATATATATATATATATATATATATATATATATATATGTGTGTGTGTGTGTGTGTGTACATGTACATATATATGTGTGTGTGTGTGTGTACATGTACATATATATGTGTATTTACATATAACGTACATGCACACAAACAAGCACACTCGCATGTATATATGTAAATATATATATCTATACATACACATATA